TTAATTGTGCACCAAATGGCCGATATAAGTCCAAATGGACTGAATTTTAGTACATCGGACCAAATTCAGCCTAGAAGCAAGTATATCAAATTTAGTGAAAATCGGTTCAGATATAGATATAGCAACCATATATATGTTTCATCCGATTTAGTGTTTTAGTCCCATACATTCGTAATATTCACTCCACAACCGTGATATTTGGTACCAGGTATTAGATGGAGCACAGGAATAGCTGTTTTAAACTTTATCGAAATCGGTTCAGATGTGGATATAGCTCCCATATATGTCTTCATCCGATTTCGGGTTAAATGTGCACTAAATGGTCAATATCAGCCCAAATCACCTGCATTTTCGTAAATAAGACCGAATTCAGTCTGGAAGCTAATACGTAAAATTTGGAGAAACCCGGTTCAGAGATAGCTATAGTTCGTAAAATGCACGATAGAATTAGATAGATTTTGATTTTGTACCAAATATCTCATAGAGCTCTGAAATGCCCTGTATAAACCTTTTTACGAGAGCTCTACTAAATACGCATAGTGGTGTAGGGTATCATATAGTCGGCCCCGCCCGACTTTTGAGCTTTCCTTACTGGTTTTTAATGTAGAAAACCTTCCGACAAAAAATATTTACTCACAGGTTCAATATGGTCCTCTCCAAAGATAATAAAATATGAATGTATTATCTAAATAAATACATATCCAATGGGGTATCATACACTCAACCCCACCCGACTTTCATTGTGTCCTTACTGCGAGCTTTCATGTATTCAGCTTGTTATTCTTTATTCCCCTGCAATTACAAGTGTCACTCTAATAATCAACCACATCTAATTAACATCTTTTGAATTAAATCTGCTACCTTTCACTTTTTCGTTCACAAATTAATTTCCTCTTTTTATTCACACACACACGCACATTGCAATTAGTGAAAATGACAATGCACGAACACAAAGAACAGAAATGCCAAAAAGGAATGACATTTGACATACGAGAACAAAAAATAAAAAAAAAATAATACAAAAACTTCTCACGAACAGCCGTCGAGGCTATAAAAATAGAAACTACAATAATTCATTAATCGCAGTCATTCGTTTGCGTCATTCGTTCATTCATTCAACGAAATTCTTATAAATTTCCATAGAGCATTCAATGGTGGCATGAGACACGGTATGGCATGCAACAGCTGTCGCTTTCGCTATCAAATATGAAAATCTAAAGTGAGAAAAAGTAAAATAATTACGGAGAATCAATGTTGACACAAGAAGAATGATTAAAATATTTATTTCTCTTGAAATTGTCTGTAGCAAATTTGTGCCGGAATTCTGTTCTGTTTTTGATTGTAGCTGAAAATTAAATTTTGATTTAAACGAAAAATGAAAAAATACCAGATTAAAGCAGTAAAGAAAGTCCTAAAGTCGTGCGGGGCTGACTTTATTGTACCCTACACCACTTTGCTAATTTAGTAGAGCTCCGCATAACAATTAAAAGTTTTTATGGGAGAATTCAATCATACACGCTATGATTATAATTAAAATTCAAAGGACTAAATATGCCGAAGCATTTGTATCTTTTAAATTTGGACGTGTATTGCCCATTTGGTGCACAATTAATTTAAAATCTGACCAAGTTATATATGGCAGCTATATCCAAATCTGAACCGATCTCGATAAAATTTAGCAAAGGTATTTCTAAGCTGCATTTGATATATTTCTCCAAATATTGTTGTTACAGAGTGCATATTACGGCTGCGGAGGACAAAAATAACAAATCGGATTAACAAAATATAAGGGAGCTATAGCTATATCTGAACCGATTTCGATCAAATTTGGCATACTTATTTTCAGGTCCAATCTGATCGTACTTGCAAATTTCCATACTATTCGGACTGATATTACACGTTTGGTGCACAATAAAAGGTAAATCGGACGAAGATATATATGAGAGCTATATCTGAATTTGTACCGATTATATCCAATTTCAATAGGGTTCGTCCTTGGGAGAAACAAATGTTTTATGCAAAATTTCATCTGGATCAGGCAATAAATGCGAACTGTACTTTGTTTACAAAAATATATGGATAAAGACGGACGGACGGACATGCATAGATCGACTCAGAATGTGATTCTATGCAGGTTATCAAAAGGAACTATGGGTCTATCTCGTTTCCTTTTGCCTGTTACAAACAAATGCACAAAGACATAAAACCCTGACCACCTTGTGGTGTTAGACCTTGAAATATTGGTCATTGAACCATTATGTAATGTAGTGCGACAAAATTAATTTTTTCGGGTTCTAAGGCCTATAGATTTACTATTCATGGTTTCCACCATAGTATGGAGGGTATATTAAGTTTCCAATTCCGTTTGTAACACCTCGAAATATACATTTAAGATCCTCTAGCTTCCGAATGAACTAAAGTGGGTTGATACAATTTTAGTCATTGAAAATAGGCTATATAGGTCCACGTTTTGGTATGGCCCCATATAACTGTACCATTCGTATTTGTACTTCGCAATTATTATTATAGTACTACGAGAATTATTTAATTAAAAGTATTTAAAATTTCTGAAAAAAATGTCCACGTCTTCATAAAGCCCTATATGGCGGTACCTCCAAATATTCGGTATTTTGATAATTTTAGCGACATTATTCACCGGAAATATTTTAAGTTTCGCATTTGAAGCTCTTACTGGTTGCTACAGGCTCTGGCCGAAAATTGTCTATGCAGGTCCACGGTTGATGATGCAGGTCCAGGTCTTCATGTAGCCCCCATATAACGGCACCTCCCTTTATTCATCGGAATTTTTTCAAGTTTCTTATTTGAATATTGTGATGCAGGTCCACGTTTTCGTATATAACGGTAACTCTCACGTTCTGTATTTATACCCTAAACCACATAGTGCTAAGGGTATTATGTATTTTTGCATTTGTTTTGTTTTTGGGGAAGCAAGCGAGATAGACCCATAGTTACTTTGGAGGATCTTCATAGAATGATATTCTGAATCGATTTATGCATGTCAGTCCGTCCACCTATGTGTGTTCTTGGGAAAATAATATAGGTCGCATTTATTATCCGATTTAGATGAAATTTGCCAAACAATATTTGTTTGGCCTAAGGACGAACCATATTTAAATTGGAGATAATCGCTTATATTTATTTATTGAATGAAAGCAAAAATGGTCAGAAATACCATCAAATTTTAGAATAAGTTTAGGTTTGTTCGAATTGGTCACCTTTGGCGCGAATTATGGCCTTCAACGGGCCAATGAAACCGTCACACGCTGCCTGAATGTTGCTCTGCGGTATTTTGGCCCATTCCCGGCGAAGCGTTTGCTTGAAGCGATCGACACTTTGGTATTTTTTAGTGCCACCCTTGCTTTCCAAAATACTCCAGACATAATAGTCCAGCGGATTGATATCGGAAGATTTTGTTGGCCATTGTGCGCTGGAAATGAAATGGGTGGCGCGTACTGAATGCAATGGTGTTGAGACCCGTTGAAATGTCCAAGGTCTGCGACCAAAATGTTTGCGTGCCCAAGGCTTTAATACAACCTCCAGAATATTTTCGAAAATATTCGCAAGTTATTCTGATGCCCACGTCGATTAATACCAGCGGAGAGCTACCATCGGCTTTTATGGCGGCCCACGCAATCAGCATGTGCACCGAAGGTGCACACTTTAAGCTGACCTCTTTGGCAAGTAAACACGATCATATTGTTTTTTACCAACTGCTGGACAACGAATGTTTTCTCATCGGAGAAAACCAAATTCGGCAGTTCACAACTTTCGGCCAAGCGAAGCAACTCTTTAGCTCTTTTGAGTCTATTTTCTTTTTGTTGCGATGTAAGTTCTTGCACTTTTTGGAATTTCAATGGCTTTACCCCGAGCTCATTTTTCAATATTTTCCGAATGGAATATTGCGATGTGTTCAGCTCACGAGCTATTTCTCGACCACTGCGACGCGGGTTTCGATCAAGTCGCTTCTTTACTTTTCGAACCATTTCTTTTTTCTTCCGTCCACTTTCTTGACGTCGGTCTACGCAGCCAGTATCACGGTAACGACCCATGGTACGAGACACAAAAGATTGGTTCACATTTAAATGCTGGAGTGCTCTAACGATAGCCAATTGTGGTTTTCCTGCCAAATATAAAGAAATTACACTATCACGCTCGAATTCCATCACGAATAACTTTTTTTCTGGAAAATTCTCACCAAAATGCTTTTGTACGATAGTAAACAATATAATAATTTTAACAGCTGTCGGACTAGTGGCTTAGAAATGACAGCAGTCTGAAATTGGTTGCAATTTTTCCAATATATATATCTTTATCCGATATCGGGTTTATTGTGCACCAAATGCCTAATATCACCCCAAATGACCTGAATTTTTGCACATCGGACCGAATTCAGTCTAGAAGCAAATGCTTCGAAAGAAAATCGGTTCATATATAGCTATAGATTTACGTATATGTTTCATTCGATTTGGGGCATAGTATGCATTCTACAAGAATGATATTTGGTACCATATAACTCATAGAGCTCAAAAATACCTCTATGAAATCTTATCGAGATCTAATTAGATTTGGATAAAGCTCCCATATATATCTTTATCCAATATCAGGTTTATTGTGCACCAAATGCCTAAGATCAGCCCAAATGGAATGGCAATTCCGACTGAATTCATCCTAGACACAAATACTGCAAACTTGGTGAAAATCGGCTCACGTAAATACTTTTATTCCGATTTGGTGTTTAAGTCCCTCACAAGCGTAATATACTCTACATAACAATATTCTTTGGTAACAAATATCAGATACAGCTCAGAAATAAGTGTTTCAAAGTTTGTCAAGGACTGTTCATATTTGGTTGTTACAGGAGCTCTACTAAATACACATAGTAGTGTAGGGTAACATATAGTCGGGCCCGTCCGGCTGCCTTTCCTTACTGTTTTTTTTTTTCTTTTTAGTTATATATTCCGTAAATATGAATATTAGGGTTTTCAAAAGGAACAACAATTTATTTAAACATTTAAAATTTCGTCAAATTACAGTTGAGTTATCTTCATGCGGCAGTACACCATTTGGCACCTTACTTGAGTCAGTTAATGAGATTTGCGTGGAAGAAAAAGTATTCCGAACAGTTAAATTATTTTCTTTCGATGTGGAGATAAAACTTAATTTTGGCGGAGCAGTACGTGGTCGTATTAAGCTACGACGTAAGCGTTTGTGAGATAAACGCCATAATTTATGACGATTGGAAGCTTTGGGAAACCTTTGATAGGCTCGAAAATTTAGTTTTCCTTCGGTCACCAGTTTGTTGCGATGTTCCTCCCAGTCCTAAGAAAGAAAAACACACACAATCTTTTTGAATTTCATTCTAAGACATTTACGTAATTATATATTTACCTTCATATTTTTATCACAGCTCAAACGCATTTGTATCAGATCGTAATTATCCAATATGTATTTCACTAACCAATTGATACCGGATTTTATGGTTGTGTTGCTATTTCTTGGTACATCACTAGTCCCTGGATCGTATACACATAGCCGAAGAGCACTCCCACATGTGCTGGCCATTCGTTGCAACCGAAACGAGTTCTCAATATCATACAGTTGTATACTTTCATTGGCCTGATCGGCTTTTGTTGCCACCAGCAGGACAGGTTTGCCACTAATATATGGATTTTTCAATGTTTTGTGTAGTAAACTAAATGACTTCTTCATATTTTCCCACGTTGAAGACAGGTCGAAGCAATAAATTATCGCCATTGTCTGAAAAAAAAAACAACAAAACGATAGATAATAAGGATACGAATATGAACGAGAATTTTATACACCTATATCTATAAAAGAGGAAAATGTATGTATGTTTGTTTGTTTGTAATTTATGGACTCGAAAACAGCTGAACACATTTTCCTGAAAATTTCCAAGTATGCTACAACATCGCCTGAAAGTAACATAGGCTATGTAAATTTTTGAAATTCCACTTATAACTGGAGATATGGCATCAGAATCGGGGGTACCTCCCAAAAATTTAGATTTTATATGCACATATCTATTGATCGATTACAGATACAGTCTCTAAATTTGGAATGCGTAAAGGAAAAATGATTTTGCCAAATTATATTTAAATCGGTTCAGATTTAGATATAGCTCCCATATATATTTTCAGCCGATTTAATTTATTAGAAGCACCAAACACGATATGTATGTTCGATTCCAATGAAATTTGGAATGTGTGACAGGATTTTGATCAGAAAATAAATTAGTCAAATTATACTGAAATCGGTTCAAATTTGGGTATAGCTCCTATATATCCAGGGTGATATGAAAAAACAGCAACCAAATTCAGACTGCTGTCATTTCTAAGACACTCATCCGACAGCTGTTAAAATTTTTCCAGTGACAGCTCATTATATTGTTTACAAGCTTAAAAAAAAAAGATTTTGGTGAGAATTTTCCAGAAACCGCAAGTGGCTATCGTTAGAGCACTCCAACATTTAAATATGAATAAATCTTTTGCGTCTCGTACCATCGCTCGTGATACTGGCAGCGTAGCCCGACGTCAAGAAAGTGGACGTAAGAAAACAGCAACATCAGCGGAAATATTTCGAAAAGTGAAGAAGTGACTTGATCGAAATCAAAGTCGCAGTGACCGATAAATGGCTCGTGAGCTGAATATATCGCAAAATTCCATTCAGCAAATATTGAAAAATGTGCTCGGGTTAAAGCCATTGAAATTGAAGAAAAGTGCAAGAACCTACAATAAAAATAGGCTCAAAAGAGCTAAAGAGTTGGTTCGTTTGGCCCAAAGTGGTGAACTGCCGAATTTGGTTTTCTCCGATGATAAAACATTCGTTCTGCAACAGTTTGTAAACAAACAAAACGGTGGCACCTTCGGTTGGCCACCAAAACTCAAGTTTCGGCCATGGTGATGGTGGGGGCCGCCATGACAGCCGATGGTCACTCTCCGCTCGTATTAATCGACCGTGGCATCAGAATAAATGCCGAATATTATCGCGAAAAATTTTGCACACATGTTTATTTTTCTAGAATGCAGGTTAAGTTCGTAAATGGGCCATGTAGGTCCACGTCTTCGTATAGCCCCCACATAATGGTACCTCCCGATATTCGGTATTTTGATGATTTTATCGACATTATACGCCGGAATTGTTTCAAATTTGGTATTTGAAGTTCGAAATGGATACAACAGCCTATCACAGAAAATTGTCTGTGCAGGTCCACGTCTTTGTATAGCCTCCATATAACGGTACCACCATAAATTCGCTATTTTGATGTTTTAGCGACATTATTAACCGAAATTGTTTAAAATTTGGTATTTGAATTTCGTAATGGATACTACAGCCTATGACAGAAGTTTTTTGTGCAGGTCCATGTCTTCGTATAGCCCCCATAAACGATACCTCCCAATATTCGGTATTTTGATGATTTTAGCGTCATTATTCACCAGAATGGTTTCAAATTACGTATTTAGAGTTCATTATGGGAACTACAGTCTGTGACAGAAAATTGTCAATGCAGGTCCAGGTCTTCGAATTGGCCCCATATACTAGTACCTCCCTATATTCGGTATTTTGACGAGTTTAGGTACAATACCCACCGAAATTGTTTGAGATGTCGTATTTGAAGTTCGTAATGGATGCTACAGCCTATGACAGAATATTGTCTATGCTAGTCCAAGTCTTCGCACAGCTCCCATATAACGGTACCTCCCTATATCCGATATTTTGATGATTTTATCTACATTATTCACCGTTTATTTCAAGTTTCGAATTTGAATATGGTAATGACTTATGACAGCCAATACCTATGTAGGTCGATGTCATATAGACCCCAATATAACGGCAATATTCGTTTTTTTTAAATTTTAACAGAATTTTTTAAGGATTTCATTTTTTGAAAATTTCTAAATTCGTTCCAAATGGTGGATGGAACTTACTGATTTTTTTTTTCAATCATATCTTAGTGTTGAATTCTATTTTAATATTGATGGCAGATTAGTTGTTCATACAATCCCTTTGAATATTTTAGCTAGTTCAATTAATACTATAATATACAACCTACCCACACATTATATAGTATGTGCATAATTTCTTGCCTCTTTTGACACTGCAAACCCAACAGAGGCTAATCCAACTGGCTTAAGATTGCCAAAAAATTAGATTTATATAGAATATCTAACTTTGACTTTTTCACTTTTTTTCTATTGTATGATTTACAATGTGGAATTCTGTTCACGACGTTGTATGAATGTCTAATAGTAGTGCCGAACAACTCACTCACTCACTCTCTCACTCACCCCTGCATAATAATGATGCCAAATATTCTGAATGTCATCATTGCCTCCAATTTCCGTTATCGAACACTGAGCATTCCCGCACTTCATCGAATAGTTATGAGCTCCATTTGTTGATTCGTAGTCTAGACGTTGCTTCTCCATAAGATAGTGGCCTATCTCGGTTTTTCCACTGCCAGCCAAGCCGAGTAGTAGGAATTTGAGTTTTTTCTCTGGAAGAACGCCAACACTGCGATTGGCGTAGAATCAATAAGAAAATATGAGAGGTCGAATCGGAATTAATGTTTTATGAATGTCACTGGTACTTTTTGTACAGATGTTCAATGTTTAGATTACCTGTTTCCATCCCAGCATTTACAACAACGGCAACAACAAAATTTACACAGAATTACACCCATTAGCTGAGATTTTCATTGTCATTCAATTGCCGATAATTAGTTCCGTGTAATACCAATGATAGTCACAAATTCGCCGTGATGGTATTCTTAGAAGTAGGAAAATTTAACTTCAAAATAATATACGCTTTTTTGATAAATATTTTTGTTTTTCCAAGAAATGAATTTCCACAACATTTGTTAGTGTTTCTTTGTTTACTACAACAATTGCCTGCCTGAGGTTTAGTGCAGTTGTTAGTATCCACTTGCGGGCAAATGCCATATGACGTTGCTATGCAACCACTTTATGTTGCCATGGTAACGATTTTATAGGGCTAGCGATTGTAGTTAGGTTGCAGCGATCGACAAGAAGAAAAGCTACTTCATATTTAATGTTGATAGGGTTGTAAATTAAAGTAGTTGACCAATGATTTTTATACCCTCCACCATAGTATGGAGGGCATATTAAGTTTGACATTCCGTTTGTAATACCTCGAAATATACATTTTAGACCCCACAAAGTATATATATTCTTGATCAGCATAAAATTCTATGTCGATTCGTCTTTCCGTCTGTGGAAATCACTCTAGCTTCCGAACGAAATGAAGTAGGTTGATCAAATTCTACTCAAATGTGTATTATGTGTGCATTACTTTTGGTACTGAAAATGCGCCATGCAGGTCCACGTCTTCGTATAGCCCCAATATAACGGTACGTCCCGATATACAGGGTAAGATAAAAAATCTGCAACAAAGTCAAACGCCATAATTTTTACATATATATTTTTTAATTTTATTGAATTAAAGATAAAACATTGAAAATAGCTTCAAATTTTAGAAAAATAAATTTTGATTAGTACGAATTGGTAGCCTTTGGCACGAATTGTGGCCTTCAAACGGTCAATGAAACCGTGACACGCTGCCCGAATGTTGCTCTGCGATATTTTGATCCATTCCCGGCGAAGCGCTTGCTTCAGGTGATTGACACTTTTGTATTTTTTTCGTGTCAGCCTTGCTTTTCAAAATAACCCAGACACAATAGTCCAACGGATTGATATCCGGAAATTTTGGTGGCCACTGTGTGCTGGAAATGAAGCGAAGAACCTCATTTTCTAACCATTCTTGGGTGGCTAAGTGCGATGGTGCTGAGTACTGTTGGAATGTCCAAGGTCTTCGGCCAAAATGTTTGCGTTCCTAAGGCTTTAAGACACCATCCAGAATATTTTCGCGATAATAATCGGTATTTATTCTGATGCCACGGTCTATAATTACGAGCGGCCCACACCATCACCATGACCGGCGCTTGAGTTCTGGTGGCCAACCGAAGGGGCACATTTATAGCTGATTTTAAAATTTTACTCAAATGTGTATTAGGTCTGCAGGACTTTTGGTATTGAAAATGGGTCATGTAGGTCCATGTTTTGGTATAGCCCCCATATAATGGCACCTCCCTATTTTCGGTATTTTGCTGATTTTAGCGACATAATTCATATAGCCCAAATATAATGTTACCTCCCTATTTTAGGTATTTTGGTGATTTTAGCGACATAATTCACCGGAGGTGTTTCCAATTTGGTACTAGAATTTTGCAATGAATACTACAGCCTATGGAAGAAAATTGTCTGTGCAGGTCCACGTCTTCGTATAGCCCCCATATCACGGTACCTCCCGATATTCGGTATTTAGATGATTTTAGCGACATTATTCATTTCATTTTTTTTTTCAAGTTTCGATTTTGTTGGAGGGTTTTTAAAGATCGGGCCGGCCGAATTTAAACCTTTTTTAATTGTTTTATTTTACAACTCTTGAAGTTGTCGTCGAATAAACAAAATGCAAAGGATTGAAATTGTAACTTCCCGAATTAAAAAGGTTTATACACAAAAATAATATAATATATATACAATCATTTGCAAAGAGGTCGCAAATATCAGTGTTAAATTCCTGTTTAAAGTATTTAACTGGACATACTGATTTATGTCAATCTACAGATATCAACATGAAAATTTGAAGGAAGAATAAAGAAAATTTTCTAAAAAAAAACTAAAATTTCAAACCCAAAGTACATTTTTTTAATTCTTTCACTCTTCGAATATATGAGCGATAATCCTATATTTTAAGTTTTTTGAAGTCGAGAAATTTGGATATAACATTTTTCCCATGGTTCAGTTAATTCAAACCAAATTTATCGTAGTTTTTTCTTGTTTTATTCTAATCTGGGTCTCCTCATGTGATTCTTACGCCCTCAGCCATATGGCTACACAAGCTATATATCGATTGATACGGCCAAAACGTGCCTCATCGAAATAACGATTTTAGACCCTAAGTCTCTATGGGCCAAATTCATTTCATAAAATTTGGAGTCGATCTAGGGGTGTCCGTCCAATGTCTGGTTGTACGCACGAGAATACGATTTGGTCCAAACATGGTACATCGCAACATTATTTCCACACGTAAATCGAATTCGGGAATTGGCAACATCGGTTCATTTCTTCCGGTACCTCCAACACGAAAATTCAAAATTTTCAGAGAAAATATTTTTCTCATAAAAAATCCTAATATTTTTTTTCAGTGCTAGGTCAGATGCGAGCATGGTAAATATCGACCCACTCCATCAAGTACCTCCCCACAAAGGGTCAAAATTCTGAATAATGTTAACTGTTATAAAATATGAAATAAGAAGCCGAATATCTTCAAATTTCACACATCCGAATTTTTATTTACACAAGAAAGATTTTAACAGAATTTTGAATTGTTTTTTATTTTTGAAAATTTTCTAATTCGTTCCAAATGGTGAAGGGTATTCAAAGTTCGGCTCGGCCGAACTTACTGCTTTTTTACTTGTTTTATTTATATTTCTAATATTTTTCTCAACCAGAGATCTAATATGAATATGGAATATATCGGCCACCTTGTGTTCCCTCCCACAAAAGATTGACAAATATTCGCATAAAATTGGAAATGATTGTTCGATATTCTTTGTAGTTTTCACATTGAAATGTTTTTGTTAGTATTAGAGAAACTGAATGAATCGGTCCAATATATCTGGAACCTCAAATATTTATCAGCATGTTATAAAAATTATCACATATTTCATGTAAAGGAAGTAGTCAATATAGTCAAAATCTGGCACGTTGTAGTATTTAATAATACTTAGGTCAGATAAGAAATGGAAAATATTGACACACTCCTTCAGTACCATCCCTATAAAGGATCAACATTTTAATAACCATAATGCATGTCAACATTTATTTTAATAAACCGACATTGGCGGAGGTTATACATCTGTAAACTAGGTTTCGGGAGGAGCTACCAATCCCCATCAGTTCCCTTGGGTTTTGTCTGGGGTTATTCTACCCTGGAGTTAGTAAGTCATTTGTAACTGAAATTGTATTTGAATTTGAGTAAATATTTTCGATGTGCGAAATATGATTCAGATCCTTCGAATATTAGATTCCAGTCAATATTCGAGTGTATATAATGTATAAATATTTCTGATTTAAAACTTAATTCAAAATTAACGTTCAATAACATGGTATAACGTTGTATCGCATATCTGTACTTACTTTTTATGTTAGCAACATTACTGTTCTGAGCAGAACTAACAGCAATGTTAAATTTTGAAATTGTACTGTATTTTCTGTTGTATGACAGTTTAGGTGGTGGTTGATGTGACAATGGGAAAGGACTGTGAAGCTAGTGATGTTATGTGATGATGATGTGGTTGTGTGTTACAAAGCTGCTGAGGGTTTAATTCTCTACTCAACTTTAAAAGCTTTTCCTTAAGGCAGAAGTTTGCAATGTATATGAAAAGCTATTTTGCTGCTATTATTTACAACCATGGGGAGACCTTTGGTTTTCAAAAAACAATGAGGGCCCTAAAATAAATAAATTCAAATTGTATATCGTATTTGTTGTCAAATAATCGGTTTATTTACTACTCGTAAAAGGGTAGTCAAATCTGGGTCTCTTATCTAAACTTCGGGTTGTGATGCACTGTAAATGATAGTTAGATTTGAGCATGGTGAGATTATAGATTGCATTGAAAATGGTTAATAAAATTTTAGTCAGGCCATAGAGGACCATGTTTTGGTATAGCACCCATACAACGGTATAACCCACTTAATGGTTTTAAATATAGTTCTTAGCCCAATTTTATGTAAATTGGCAGTTTGTGTTCTCAGTATACAGAAAACATCATTGTAAGAAACTGTCTATATAGGTCTGAGTTGTGGTATAGACCCCAAATAATTGTACCTCCAGACATTACGCCTTTTGATGATTAGTGTCCCCTTTTTCTTTTTAACGGAAATTTGGTATTTGGAGTTTGTAATGGGTTACCTCTTGTGATAGAGAATTGCTCATACAGATCCTCGTTTTCGTGTATCCCCTAGAAAACTGTGGCACTCTGTATTCGGTATTTCAGTGATTTTGGCCATATTGTTCAAGGGAATTATTTCAATGTTTGAGTTTGGATCTGACAATCCAACCATTTTCTCATATAGAAAATTATTTTCACAGGTCCAGGTTTTAGCATAGCCCTTAAAGGCAGTACCAAAAATTATGTAATACTCCGAAATATTGGTCCTGTACATAGGAAACTATGTATGGATCTTCTTATCTCGCATAGCTGAGTCAATCTAGCTATGTATATATGTCCGTCCGTCTGTTAATGTTACATTTCAATCATGCTACAGATAACAATTATGGCCCGATGGAAATGGAGATAGTGTTAGGATCACAATAGACGCCTATTTTTATACCCTACACCACATAGTGGTAAGGGTATTAAGTTTTTGTGCATTTATTTGTAACATAGGGAAGGAAGCGGAATAGATCCATAGTTACTTTTGAGGATCTTCAGAGAATCACATTTTTGTCAACAAAATGCAGGTCGAGTTTTTTATCTGATTGAGATGAAATTTTCCATGCAATATTTGTTTGGCTCAAGGGCGAACCCTATTGGTGAGAATCGGTTCAAATTTAGATACAGCTCCCATATATATATCTTTATCCGATTTCAGATTTATTGTGTACCAAATGGCTAATATCAGCTCAAATGAACTGAATGAATGAAGTCATCGTAGAAACAAGTGCTTTAAATTTGGTTAAAATCGGTTTAGATATAGCTATAGCTCTCATACATACGTTTCCTCCGATTTGGCGTTAAAGTCCATCATGTGCGTAATATGCACTCCACAACATGAAAATGGACCATGTAGGTCCACGTTTTAGTATTGCCCCCCATATAATGGTACCCCCTACTTATTTTCGGTATTTTGGTGATTTAAGTAATGGATACTACAATCTATGAC